AGAACAGGCAGATGGAGGAAGTACACTGCTGGGGGGAGCAGTGGGTGGGTCAGGAGAGGTCTGCCACACCATGTGGTCATCTCCGGGGCAGGTGGGAATTGAACTCATGCAGAAGCAGCTTTAGATTCTCAGTGCTGTGCTTTAACCCGCTGTGCCACCAAGGAGGGCCTTAACAACTTTACATTTTGAGTCAGTTTTAAACTTAAAAAAAAAAAAAAAAAAACTTGCAGAAGTATTAGATATGGTTTTCTTTTATTACTTAACTCACTTCCCCTAATGTCCATACCTTAAATAACCACAGTATAAGTATCAACAAAAATTAACGTTTATGTAATATCTAAACTACAGTCTTTATTAGAATTTTGTCAATTTTTCCACACTCAGGTGTGTAGTCACCATAATTCTCCCACCACCAAAGCACTCATAATCCATTCCAATGCTCCCCCAACTCCATTTTCCTCCCTTCTCTCCTCTCCATCCCCTCTCCTCTTAGATGTCTCTTTTTTTGTGGTCAGCTTCCAAGGTTTTTCTTTATCTGACCCATTAGTTGGTCTTTCTATATTTCACATATAAGTGAAACCATCCAATATTTGGCTTTTTTCCTTCTGACTTATTTCCCTTAGCATCAATCAATTCTTCCAGCTTCATTTGTCCTGCTGCAAATGGCATAAGTTTTTCTATATTTTTTTCTCTCTGAGTAGTAGTCCATTGTATATATATCGCATCTTCTTGGTCCATTCATCTGTTTTGGGACATTTAGATTATTTCCATATTTTGTCTATTGTAAATGCTATAATAAACATGAATGCAGATTTCCTTTTTATTTATTTATTTTTTAAAGATTATGTTTCCAAGCACTGGTGTATAGGTCAGAGGTGGGGGTGACAGGATTCAGAATGGGGAGCAGAACAGGCAGCTCCACTGAAATACACTGCTTAGAGGAGCAGTGGGCAAGACAGGAGAGGTCTGCGGTGCTATGTGGGTCAGCTCTGTGGTCAGGGATTGATTTGTGCTTCAGTGGCTGCTGATAACTTCATTGTGCTGAGACTTAACCCCCTTGCACCACCAGGGAGGCCCAGATTTCTGTTTTACTTAGTGTTTTATGTTCTTTGGGTAGAGTTCTAGGATTGGAATAGCTGGGTTTTATGACAGTCATTTTTAGTATTTTGAGTAACCTCCATATAGCTTTCCGTAATATCCGGACCTGTTTACATTCCCACCAGCAGTGTAAGAACATTCCTTTTTTACCATATATTCAACCAATACTTGTTTCTGTTTTTTTTGGGGGGAGTTGGGGAGGGTTGTTTGTTTGTTTTTTTAATATGGGCTATTGACACTGGTATGAGGTGGCATCTCATTGTGGTTTGGATTTGCATTTCCCTGATAACAACTGATAATGAATATTTCTTCCTATGCCTATTGGCCATTTGCATTTCTTCTTTGGAGCAGTGTCTTATTTAGCCCTTTTGCTCTTTTTTTTTTTTTTTAAAGATGTATTTATTTATGCATACAAGGACTGGGGTACAGGCCAGAAGTAGGGAGGGTCGGGGGTTGGGGGGCTGGCATTGAGAGGATTCATAGGAGACAGAGTGGGAAGCAGAACAGGCAGATTGACTTAAATGCACTGTTGAAGAGAGCAGTGGATAAGACAGGAGAGGTCTGCTGCGCCATGTGGGTCACCTCCTGGGTGCGAATCAAATTTGTGCTGCAGTGGCTGCAGGTAGCCTCATGGTGCTACCCTTTAACCCCTTATGCCACCAGGGAGGCTCCTCTTTTGCTCATTTTTTGATTGTGTTGTTTAATTTGTTTTTGTTGAATTGTGCGAGCTCTTTGTAGATTTACCTATCAGATATATGGTGTGCAAATATTTTCTCCCATTCAGTGGGATATCTCTTTGTTTTGGTTACTGTCTCTTAGGCTGTACAGAAGCTTTTTTAGTTTGATATAGTCCCAGCTGTTTATAGTCTTCTTTGTTTTCTTTGCTTATGGAGACAAGTTCTTAAGATGTTTCTGAAGTTTATATCATGGAGTGTTTTGCTCATGTTTTCTTCTATATATTTTATGGTTTCAGGCTTTATATCCAAGTTTTTTGTTCATTTTGAGTTGTTTTTTGTGTATGGTATGGGATAGTAGTCTAGTTTCATTCTTTTGCACGTGGCAATCAAATTTTCCCAGAACCATTTGCCAAAGAGACTTTCAGTGTATATTCCTTGCTCCTTTGTCATAGATTAGTTGATAATAAATGTATGGTTTTATTTCTGGGCTTTCATGTCTATTCCATTGATCTGTGTGTTTGTTTTTGTTCCAGTACCATGCAGTTTTTATTGTTATGGCTTTTTTTTTTTTTTTAAAGATTTATTTATTTGTACATACAGAACTGGGGTACAGGCCAGAGGCTCAGGGGTGGTGAGAGGCTTCACCAGAGACAGAACGGGGAACAGAACAGGCAGATCAATGAAGTACACTGCTGAGGGGAGCAGCAGAAAGGTCAGGAGAGGTCTGCCACGCCATGTGGTCACCTCCGGGGCAGGCGGGCATTGAACTCATGCGGAAGTGGCTTTAGCTTCTCAGTGCAGTGCTTTAACCCACTGCTCCACCAGGGAGGGCCTGTTATGGCTTTTTAGTATAGTTTGGAGTCTGGCAGTGTTATGCCTCCTTTTTCTCCTTTTTAGTTAAGGAGGGTTTTGACTACCTGGGGTCGTTTGTGAGTTCATGTGAATTGCAGCAGTATTTGTACTATTTCTTTGAAGAATGCCATTGAGATTTTTTTTTTTAAGATTTATTTTTATTTATGCATATAAGAACTGGGGTATAGGCCAGAGGTGTGGGAGGTGAGAGGATTCACCATATGGTGGGGCTCAGAACAGGTAGATCTACTGATATACACTGCTGAGGGGAGCAGCAGGCAAGATAGGAGAGGTCTGCTATACCATTTGAATTAGCTACTTGGCTGGGGATTGAACTCTTAACTGCAGTGGGTAGTGATAGCTTGACAGCACTGTAACATCAGGGAGACCTGGCCATTGAGATTTTTACTAGAATTGCTTTGAATCAGTAAATTTCTTTTAGTAGGATGTTCATTTTGATAATATTGATTGTTTTCCAATCTCTGAGCAGGGACTATCTTTCTGCTTCTTTGTGTCTTCTATTTCTTTTAACAGTGTTTTATAATTTTCTTTAAATCCTTCATCTCCTTTGTTAGATTTATTCCCAAGTATTTAATTGTTTTTTTTTTTTTGTTACAGTTGTAAATGGGATCTTTGTGCTGTACTTTCTACTTCTATTTCATTTATTTCTGCTTTAATTTTAATTATTTCCTTCCTACTACTTGCTTTTGGGTTTTTGTTCTTTTTCTTAGAACTGATATAATGTTGATCATCCTAAATAAGAATCAGGGATATCTATCTCTTTGTTCAAGTGTATTTTTGTGTCTTTCAGGGTTATTTAAAGCTTTTTCTTGAATAAATTTTTACACATTTCCTGTTAAATTTAATTCTGATTTTAATATTCCTTGTTGCTGTAAATGTGATTTTTTCCCTGCTTTTCTGCACTCTAATGTTTATTATTTGTGCAATGAAAGCTATTTGTATGTTAATGTTATATCCTTCTATAAACTTAATTATTGCTTGTTATTTAGTTTCTGTATAAATATACTAATATGATTTTTTTGTGTTTAAGTTATTTGTGATACATGCATTAATAGCTTGTCTTATGTTGAACTAATAAACTATCTGTTCAATTTTATCATCTTTTTTCACATATTGAATTATTAGATATTTAGTATTTTTGTACTTGTGTGGTAAGTGTGTTTGTATCAGGCTTACAATATTTATTGTGAAGGAGTTAATGGAAGATTAGATTCACTGGCTTCTTAGATATTGATAGAACTGTCCTGTAAAACTGGCTGGGCCTGCTCTCTTCTCGATGAGAAAACTTTTCATTACTAATTCAATTTCTTTAATAGTTTAGTACCATTTGAATTTCCCATTTCTATTTGAATTATTTTCCTAATTTTATATTTTATGTTTTCAGAAAAGTTGAAAACTAGTATATTAAATACCCTGTAGTTAGATTCCCATTTTGCCACATTTTCTATATCTATGTCAATATATATGTTTTTCCCCTATTCATTTGTAAGGTAATTATTGACAAGATGTATTAACCTTAAATATTTAGCAAGAACTAGAGCATTCTGTGGCCTCCTTGATGGTGCAGGGGTTAAAGTCTGCACTATGAAGCTATCGCCAGCCAGGCACTGCTGCCTGAGTCCAATCCCTGCCAGGCAGCTGACCCACATGACACAGCAGACCTCTCCTGGCTCACCCACTGCTCCCCTCAGCAGTGTGTTTCAGTAGATCCGCCTGTTCTGCTCCCCACTCTGCCTTTAATAAGTCCTCTTACTCCCCACACCTGTACCTCTGGCCTAAGACCCTACTTATTGTATGCATAAATAAATAAATCTTAAAAAAAAATAGAGCATTCTTCCACAATACTCTCACCACGTCCAAGAAATCTCACCTTAATAAATTTTAAAATTTCAGATAGTGATATGAGTGATAATAGAGATGTAAATCAAAATTTTTCAAATAGTGAAATGAGATACTTTCATAACCATTGATTTCTTACATCAAAATTTTCTATCATCATTTCTTCTTTGACCTCTGAGTTACTTAGATAAATGTTGAAATTTTCCCTGATGTTTTTGTAGGTTATCTTGTATTCTTGTTAATGATTTTGATTAATAATATTGTGGTCAAAGAATGGGGTATATTTAATATACACTCCTTGAAGTTTATTAACATTGCTTTATTGCATTATTTAAGTAGGTGGTAAGTTTTTGGAAGTACCCTAACAGTGTTTTAAAAGAATGTGACTTTTCCATGTATTAGGTATACTGTTATGTATAAGTACCTTTTGTTTTATGAGATCAGAATTTTGCGTGCTGTTCTTATTTCTCTATCCTTGATATCCCTAAATGTACCTTTTGCCTTTGCTCCTAGCGGCAGTACATACCTGTGAAAGTGAAGAGCAAAGCCTTCTGGATCTTCTCTTGGGAGTATGCCATGATGTACGTGGGAAGCCTAGTGGTAATTGTTTGCCTCTCCTTCTTCCTTCTCAGCTCCTGGGATTTCATACCTGCAGTCTACGGCTTCATGTAAGTAATGACCTTTTTAGAAAACTCTGGAACGTAATTTGGTTCTTATAGCTTAGGTGGGAGCAGAGTGAGCACAGGTATATCTAGAATAGTGCTCCTCAAATTTTAGTGCGCCTTGGAATCACTTGCAGGGCTTGTTAAGCCTTGGATGGCTGAGCCCAAGCCCCAGAGTTTCTGATTATGTAAATATGTAATAGAGACCATGGATTTGCATTTCTAACAAGTTTTTGGGTGATGTTGATGCTACAGATCTTGAGAACCATTGGTCTAGAACATTCCTTCAAATCTAGTGGAATTCAAAAGTATACTTTAGGAACATCTAAAGTAAATAATAGTCTCTGACTGGTTCTGGTTTAACCCCAAACAGGAGTAGCTCTATCCCTCTCTTGCACCGTTTTAAAATAAAACCATCTTTCCTGTTTCAAACTTATCAGAATAGGTTTAGAGTATGAATTCTATGGTATGCCAAGAAAGATGTTTCCGTCTAAGCCTTGAAGAACTCACAGCCCAGTGAGTGATGGGTTTGCTGGTAGGACAGAAGTCTGGAGTTGCAGAACACCCTTTTGGGATTCTGGACTACTTATTTGTGTTAAATCTTAAAGACTGGGTATAACAGTGACTTAGTAACTTTCATTTCTTTTTGCTCTCCCTTGGATAAGATTTTGTACTTTCTGGTTAAAATCTTTTATTGATTTCTGGCTTTGCTAGATTGTGTTCCTTACCTTGTTCATGGGAAAGGAAATGTATTTACAGCAGGAGGCAAGCTTGTCTGGGTGGAGGCCTAGGTCAGTGAAATCTGACAGGAGCCTTTACTATCCTCTACCTCTCCATATTTCAGTTGTTGCCCTTTCAAAATTGTGGAAAACATCAGTTTCAACTCTTTTAAAAAATAAAATATATAATGTAAATTTTATTAGAAGAGCCTGCTGATCTTTATCTGATATAACTAGAGAAAGATTTTCCCAGTTAAATATTTCTCAGATGAGTCCGGGATCCCAGCCAGACCTGCCCATGGTTCCTCAAGCCTCCAGAGGTCTCACTGCAGTGTCAGGCTCTCAATCTGGTTGGGGATATGGAGCAGGAACTGGGAGGGGCAGGATCTTTGAGTCTGTTCCTGTAGGCAGATCTCTGGAATGACCAAAATAGACACTGTTTATTTAAAACCCAGAAGTACTGAGTATCTTCTGGCTTTACATCTTGGGTAGTAAAGAGGGCTGGACTCCTGATTTCTAGCATAGATCTCTGCTTTATTTTGATTCATGCCAGAGTTGGGATTAGTTATTACTCATCTCGGTTTATTAGTCTATGTCTCTGCCCCCATTTTTTAAATTACCTATATTCAGGGTACTGGAGAGCCCCTCATCTTCTGCTCTCTGTAAAGAGAAAGACCCTTGACTGCCCAGCAGCGAACAAAGTCTTCAGGAGAAAATCAGGTCAAAAGAAACCATTTATAACTTTGCTTTCTTTTTTCTCTCCTTTTGTTTTCTTCACAGACTTTCTGTTCCTGATCTCACTCCAAACATTGGTCTTTTCTGGTACTTCTTTGCGGAGATGTTTGAGCACTTCAGCCTCTTCTTTGTATGCGTGTTTCAGATCAACGTCTTCTTCTACACCATCCCCTTAGCCATAAAGCTGAAGTAAGTGGTTTTGCTGTTTCTTTGTCCACAGAGCACTTGAATACTACACAGTGCCTGGGAGCCTTACAGGTGGTCTTCAAACTAGGAGTGTCTGCTTTCAGCTTTACGCCATCTTTGCCAGTAGTCATAGCCCATCAGTGCAGACTTCAGGGGGCCAAGGGGGGTGTATTTTGGAGCCCTGATAAGTCCTGTGGTCTCACTTTGGGTATTGAACCCCAGAGTTGGCTGTTGCAGAGCTGACTCACTGTTTTGGACTAGAGCAAGGGCGTAGTATGGGGGAATGTCTTTAGGAAAAGTAGATCTTGTTTGATGTCTGCTATCAGTGGCCCACAGCCAGATTGTCTAAGGGCTCCAAGATATGACGGTTGGGCCACCTGCAGCTCTAATTAATCTTCTGATCATTTTTCCTCAAAAGAATTGTCTGTGGAGCCCCCTTCTGCAGTGAAAGAGAGTCAGCATTGTTGAGTCTTGCTCCATCCTAAATAGCTTTCTAGGCTCTCTGAAATGTAATCATACTGAACCCACTCAGCAGCTCCGGTAGGAAGGCATTATTTTATTACTGTGACTCCCACTTTGTAGTTGAGGACATTGATGCTTAGAGAATTGGAACCGTTTTCCCAGAGTCTCACAGCTGATAAGCACAAACTGGGATCCAGACCCAGACTTGTCTATCTCCAGAATCTATGCTCAAATCTCTACCATGACAGACACCTGAGAGAGCTTACTAGTGGCAACCTCTGGAAACAGTTCTGGTATCCTAGTTAATCATGGAAGGGAAAACAGGCACCAACAAGTACTAACAGATATGCTTAGATGGTTTAGGAAACCTGAAAGAGAATAAGTTAGATTTCAGGAGCTTGAGTTCTACCACTAACTTTCCTGCCATTCTCCATGGTCAGTGTACCAGTGGTTCTTGTTCTACAGAAACTCAGAGCTGAGGCTGCCTTATCATGATATAGCCTCAGCCTTGCACCTGACAGAAAACCATCCTTCCTTGCCTGGCAGGCTGTAGAAGTCTTGTCCACTCAAGCCCTCCAGTGGTCTGTGGTTCACCTTCCCTGCCCTTGTTCTGGTCAGATGTAGCACCTGAGCTGCAAGAAGCAGAGGCGTAACACTAATGTGAGCCCTCCAGACTACAGCCTCAGACTTACGGGCCAGAGGGTGTGAAGATAACTGACTTTCCTCACTGCTGACCTCTTCCGCCTGGATGTGAAGCCTCCTACAGTGCTAACTTTCAGTGCCAGCTCTGTGAGAACAGGGCCCTTCGGCCAGCACCCTAGACACAGGAGGTTCTGCTCTCCATGCTTTGTTAATATCACACATCTACTGTCCTTTTCATAGAAATGTTAATCACTGTTCTCTGCTACCTAAAACACCCAGGCAATGATTGGAATGTCTTTAGGAAGATGTCCACTGAGCCTGCTGGACCCTTCTTAGAGGCTGCAGGATGATGTCACTTTGCCAAGCTGTTTCTAAGGCATTTGCTGTGTAGAAGCAGTGGTATGTTTGGGTGTGTACATGTTTGTCTCTACATCTCAGATTTATACTATTGAGTCATTTGACCTTTGCCTTTAACACAAGTACGCCAGTGACCTCTGAAGAAAACCTTAATGAGTTGAGCATCCAGGTACTATGCAGGAGCAGGCATAGGCCACATGCTTGTTGTTTGAGGGAGCCGAGGAGTGTGTGGGGTGTCCATCTGACCTCTTTCAATTGGCTTCCATGTGGCATTTGGTCAGCTCTCAGGAGCACTGAAGACTGAGCTCTGTGCCCACTCTCCCTGACTAGATCCAGGATGGCTGTGGCCACTTAGGAGAACAGGATCAGTATCTGAACTGGTTAGGAGTTCTGGAGACAGACAGCTCCTTCACTTACTAACTCTCTTACTTTCTCAGAAAATCAGTTTCCTCATCTGTAAAGGGAGGGTGGCAGCATTGCCTACCTCGAGGACTAGTTGAGATACTAGTGAGACTCATAAGATGAAACAAGAAAAGGGCCTAGCATAGAACATAGCCCAAAGTGAGGATAAGGTAACAACTCCAGTTCAGACCCTTAAGATGTGAAAAGCTGTATGCAGCACTCAGTTCTCTTTTTGGAAAGGCGCTCATCATAGCTCAGGGTCTGCAGGCCCCATTGACTATACTGTCAGATAAAGAGCATCAGTAAGGAGGCATTCCTGCCCTAAGTCCAACCTTCAGAGGGGCCTCTGGCCAGGGAGACTGCCCAATTATTCTGACAAGCAGTCATTTAAGCCCAGTAATAAATAGAGTGCTGACTTCATTTGTTTTCTTCCTGAATGCCTCCTGGGGGAAGGCCCAGAGCTGGTAGAGGCTGGAGCTTGATGGGAAATGTCTCTGTGGACTGTTTCTCTAGTGTTTGCTGGGCCCTCCTCTCTGCCTCTGAGCATTTCTGAGTCCCTGCAGTTTTCTGCATTGCTATCTGATTTTAGCCTCCTATCTTGTGGGTAGCTGAGACAGCCCCTGCCTCAGTCCCTAGGCAGTATTTTTGGTTCTCAGGATGGGGTCAGAAGTCTCTTGGGGTGGGCCCTGGTCCCTGACTGATATTTCTCTTTTTGTTTGTCTGCCTTGCCCTGCCCTGCCCCAGGGAGCACCCTATCTTCTTCATGTTCATCCAGATTGCCATCATCTCCATCTTCAAGTCCTACCCGACAGTGGGGGATGTGGCCTTGTATATGGCCTTCTTCCCGGTGTGGAACCATCTCTACAGATGTGAGTATCCCACCCCTAACCCCCAGGTGCCTGATATCAGCCCAGCCCCTGTTTAAAACAGCTGGAGAAAGGGATTAATAGGCATGTGCCAGGCATCTGCTGTACCAAGAAGCACTCTATAGAGGCAGTGACATGAGGCCCAATATCTATCTCCTGGGTGTTGTGCACTAGTGATATGATAAAAATTGCTGTTGAGTACCTACTGTGTAACAGACCATTGTGGTTGTTCGAGCTAGTTCATTTTATCTTTACACCAGCTTTTGAGAAAACTGAAAGGTAGACTCGTCTGTTCAAGGTCAAGTAGCTAATATGTGGGAAGGACTGGGATGAGAATCCAGAGCTGGAGCCTCTAGCTGGCACTGCCCAGTAGGGCTTTCTGTGATCCTGGAAATGGCCTCTATCTGCATAAACCAATAGAGTTGCTGCTAGAGTGGCTGAGAAGTTGGAATTTTTTTAATTTAAATATAAGAAGCCAACTTTGGCTAGTAGCTACTGTATTAGTGCAGCATGAGACCTTGAATTTTGAACCAGTGCAAAGACACGAAAACAAGATGAACAACGTTAGACTTCCTGCCTACTGTGAAGACTCCTTTAAGTTCAAACCACTCCCCTCAGAAGACTGTGATTTTAAGGGTGCCTACGCCCCTGTGTTTCCCTCATGTGGGCTCTTTCCCAGTGCTTGTGAGCACCCTCTGGGTGAGCATAACGACGCCACTGCTGGTGTCTCAGTCCCCAGGATCAAACCTGGCGTGAACAACTCACAGATGTCTGTGGACGGGTGTTTTCAGCCTCCCTAAAGAAGCCGGTGTCAGTGGCTCAACGCTGCTTCATTCTCTAGGTTGGGAAGGGAACTTCTCAACTTTCCTTGCCTACTCTGGGTGCAAGACACCTTGCCTAGCAGAGTGTCAAGAATGAACACTGGGGGCGGGGGGCAGTCTTCAAAGGAAGTGAGTCTTTGAGTCTTTGTTGTTGCTTTGGGGCTGTCTGGGTGTCAACCAGGAAGTGAAACTGACCAGCTGCCAGAAAGAAACTTACCTGGAAGACTGGCCTCTGAGCAAAAAGGTAAACAGCTAGCTGGGGCGGGCCACGTCAGAGCTGTTCTTGCAGGTGATGGCCTGTGGGCTGTGACTAGTCCAGCCTGACTGAAAGGAGGAAGTAGCTTCTCTGCCTGCACCAACCTCTTTGCACAGCAGGAATCACCGAATCCAACAAGACACACCCAACTTTAGTCCCCTCGTAGAGTGGTCACTGACAAGTCACAAGCCCACCAAATGTGTGGATGTACCCCAGTTTGCACCCGGGTGGATCTTAGGGACAGTCACCCTCCCGTCAAAAGTAGAGTCATTTTTTCATAGCTGTCTAGCCCACACTGAGCATCTCTCCCTCAGTAAATATTTCTTATCCCACATTGCTGAATAATCTGGAGCCCGATGGACTGAAGTCTGGAACCTGCTTTCAAATGATTAGCTGTCTGTTTTCAGGCACATCATTTAACCTCTCTGAGTCTCCCATTTTTCCTCTGTCAGATGTATAGTAGAATATATTTCATTTAAGGAAGACCATAGATAAGTAGCACTGCAGTTATCATCATCAGTAATAATTATGTGGTGGTAGGGAGGATAAGGTCCTGCATCATCAAAGTTTCAGGCTTGGTAGCCAGAGTCATTCAAGCCATTGGAATAAACATAGTTTCCAAAACTTGACATAAGCTATTTTATGCCCTCTGGGGCAATGAGGCACAGAAAATAAGGCTGGAAACCTAGTGACCTATTAGATGCTGTTGCCGGTTGGGCTGGGCAGGATCAGCTTGTCTGAAGGTCCCACAGACACCCAGCTCCTGTAGCAGAGAATACTTGTGCTTGGGGTATCTGTTTGGAGTCTGACAACGGTGAGTCATTATAGTCAGCCAGGAACGTCTTGGTTTCTGCTTCTTTGGACCTGTGAGTGGAGACTTGGGAAGTCTTTCCGTCTGAATGTGTTCAGACCTTTAATGTGGTTAAAGAATTCAGTTTAAACATTAGTTACCAGTTTGAACATGCCTACTGGTACGTTCACCTTTTTGTTTTCCTGTCCAGCTCAGTGGGCGGAGAAGAGACACGTGGGCCCTTCCCTGCATGTTGGCCCCAGATGCTGGGACTCTGTGACACTTGGGGCCAGAGTGAGTCATATGTACACGCAAGTGTGGTGTTAGGGAGCAGCCTGCTGGTAGAGCCAGTGCCAGCCGCAGAGGTTGAGCTGAAAACCCATTGCCAACAGACTGGAGTGTGAGTGTGTGTGTGTGTGTGTTTTAATTTTGTTTTACTAGCTAGGAAACAATCCTGTGAAAATACACTTAAGTTAGAAAGGATAACAGTAAATTCCTGTGAACACTGCACCTAGTTTAAGAAAAAACAGGAACATCACCACGGCCTTTGTAGTCCCCAAGACCCTCCTGTGCCCCCCGGATGGCCTGGGCTTTTCAAGTGGAATTTTATTCCTGAATACCTGTGGCTCAGAGAGGGAGAGTCACTTGCCTGAAGTGTCAGTAGTGAAGCCAAAGATCAGATAAGCCACCAAGTGAGTGTAGTGGGGATCTGATTCCATCTGACCTAGTAAGTGTGATGAGGGCGAACCCTTTCATCTCATTAGACTCAGACATCGCTGACACCTCCTGGTGCCTGGAACAAGCTGTCCTGTGACCTGGGTCTCCAGCTCCGTTTGCTCTGGCAAAGAGCCTTGATCCTCTGGCTGGTCAGCCAGCAAGAGTGAGCAGCAGCTCCTGTACCTGCAAAGGTCACCACAGACCAGAAGCCAGCAGATTGCTGGTGACCATTCCTCAGGCACATGAGAGTATCTTTGCAACTCTTTGTGACTGCACGGAAGAACTGCCTGTGAGCTTCTTTCAGTCTGTGCACTTTGAGTACCTTTTGTCACCCTGTGTGAGATCCAGAGTGGCTAAAGGCAGGGGGGAAAAACCTGTCTGGGCTGTCAGGCCCCAGGAGCTTTATTTTAAGAATAGTATATGTTCTTTTCAGCAAAATAATTTCTAGGGAACTGATAACAAATCCTAGAAATCTGATTGTAGAACTGAGGCTGCCAGAGGGGTTGTGGAAGCGGGGAGACAGCACAGGGGATTATGAAGGTGTACTGGAAGTGGTGGATGAGATGTGGTAACACCACTAGGAAGTAGTGACCTCTAAAACACAAACAATATGGTAAACCAATGTTACCTCAGTTAAAATAATAAAATAATTTCCAGGGCATCAGAAAGAACCGTGGAGATATGTAACTGGTGATATTGGAGTGCAGGAATGGTAAATAGATTTCTGCTCTTGAGGTTGGGACATATTTGATAACACTCATAACAGTAGTAGTAATTTCCAGTGCAAACATCCCTGTTCTCAGACTTCATATTCTGGGAACACGGACCAGACACTTTCTCTGAGAGGTCGCAGGAGCTTGAGTCAAGGCTTTACCTTCTCAGCTTTGAAAGCCCAGAATCATGGAAATTTCAGATCAGGAAGCTGGCCTTGTGAGCCTTCCAGACCAGTGTTTCCAAATTGTGGCATTTCAAGATCACTAGCATTTCACAAAACCCAGGTGACAGAATTGTCAACATTTTATTTTGCTGATAATATCAGTATAGCCAACTATCAGTCACTCACCCAAATTTCATTAAAAAAACCTTTACACCAACCAGCAACAAAAAGACCTCTTATTTCTCAATAAAGAAAGAATCTTAAGTTGCAAGTGTTTAGTTTTACCTTGTCATTATTCTCACTGTGACCCTGACCAGTGACTCATCGGTAGGGGACTGGTGGGGACCTCTCACTCGGTAAGCGGCTGCACTCCAGTGGCTCGCAACCCGGCTGTGTATCAGAATCACTGGGGAAGCTTTAGAAACTAATATGGATGCCTGGGCCCCACTCGTGTAGACGCTTGGTCTGGGTGGGGCTGCTCAAGTGATTTCATTTTGCAAATTGACCTTAAGTTGAGGATCTTCAGCTGGGGAGACTGACCCTGATTATCCAAGTGGGCCAATATAATCCCCAGGATCCTTAGAGGTGGAAGAAGCAGCAGGCGTGTGGGAAATCTCTATCTTCTACTCAGTTTCGCTGTGAACCTAACAGTGCTCCAAAATGTAAGTCTATTTAAAAAAAAAAAGAAAAGTAGAAGAGGAGGTCAGAGTGAGAACTTAATCTGCTGGTTGAAGGGGTCACATGCCAAGAGCGCGGGCAGCCTCAACAAGCTGCAAAGCAAACATCGATTCTCCAGAAAGCCTCCAGAGTGATCCTTTGATTTCAGCCTGTGAGACCCATTTTGGACTTCTGACCTTTAGAACTATAAGATATATTGTTTAAGCCACTAAGTTTGTAGTAGTTTGTTACCGCAGCAGCAACAGAAAGAAAACCAGTACGCACAATAACACACCTGTGCCAGGTTTTTCACACATCTTAATTCGTATTCCTGTGAAGTAGGCATTTCCATGCTGTTTTAGAGATGAGGGTACCAAGTCTTAGAGAAACTTGCTGGCAGAGCAGGGATTCTAACCAAGGTCTCTTGAGGCCAGGCCTGTGCTTTCCCATCGTGCTGCCTCCCCGCCGGCAGCCCTTGCCTGCCTGTGGACCACCCTTGATGTCACCCCTGGGCTTAGGGAGCACTTTCTGTCTGGGGATGCAGTGTGGTGTCAGGAAGAGATTAGTTATTCATTTAAGGAAGAGTGGGGGACATTTAGGAGCAAGGCAGAGGGGAACTAAGACATGAATTAAGGAGGACAGAAAGTGTCTTCCTAAGACCTGAGGCTGTGGCACATGGAAACACTGTGGGGTGCTAAGCTCCACAGGCTCATGCTGCTGTTCCCAGCATGACCTGATGTGTCAGACAGCACCCTACTTGGGGAGAGGGAGAGGTTACTCTTGGACTCTCTGAGATGCGGTATAGACGCAGGGTCTTGCTGAAATACCCTCTTTACTGGGTCCAGAGCATCACTGCTTTGCCAGCCATAGCTGGTCTTCAGGTACAGAGTGCAAATCTAGGACTTGCCACCAGCTTTGACTGTGGGGAACATTGGTTCAAGGGTGGAGGTCTGCCTCTTGGCATGCCAGCACTTCTGAGTGGGGGAGTTCTGCTTTTAAGCAACACAAGGCCCTCCCTGGGCCTTTCCATCCCAGCAAAGTTGGGGGGTGGGGGAATGGCTCCCAAACAGACTCCGTTGAGCTAATTGTAATTGTTTATCTTTGCAGTCCTGCGAAATATCTTTGTCCTCACCTGCATCATCATCGTCTGCTCCCTGCTCTTCCCTGTCCTGTGGCATCTCTGGATTTACGCAGGAAGTGCCAACTCTAATTTCTTTTATGCCATCACACTTACCTTCAATGTTGGGCAGGTAAGAGTCGAGGAAAGCGAGGAGACAAGGATTCATTTTATAGCTTCAGATATTTGACCTAGGCCCTGGGCTCTGCAAGCAAGAAGTATCAACCTGGATGAGGGGACAGTTCCTCCTAGAAGCCCATGGTCTGGTAGAGAAGATAGGAAAACTGCCGAGGAAAACTGCATCTGGCTAATATTTAGAGGCACCATACTGAGCCATGATCTAGTGAATTCTCACAGCAAACCAGTGAGATGGTCTCTCGGTTTTACAGATGAGAACTGTGGCTCCAGAGGTTTTCTCTTGCCCATTGTCATTGGAGGGGCCAATAACTAACTTCAGGGCAGGCTCAAGTCCTCTGTTCCCTGTAACAGCGCCTGGGCTACTGGCTTCTAAGGGCACCTCTAGAGGGTGGGAAAGGTAGTGGGAACAGGGCGAGAAGCAGATTCTCTGACTCCAGCCCAGCAGGCCCACAGGCAGGAGATAAGACATAGTTTGGTCTTGCTGTTGGGTAGAAACAAGAAGGGAAATAGGGCGTTAGGGTTTTTGCCCTGAGTGATGGGTCTGGTATTTCCTCTGTGGACGTTCGAGACAATTCAAGTCTGGCCCAGCTATTTACCGTAGTTTTTGAACAGCAGCAACAGAGACGGAGGACCGGGTTGCCTGCTAGGACCAGGCCGGAGGGTCGGCTCTGCCATCACAGAGCTAATTACTGCTGAAAGCACCTGCCTGCGGCACGTGTGGACAGAGCACTGCAGGATCCCACTGAGAATCTCAAAAGTTGTTCTGGCTCTTCTCTGTCCTGCAATCCCCTTTTCCTTTCAAAGTGATGACTAGTACCGGAGGGCCTTGGACCTTTGGGGAGGTCAGTACGCCGTCCTAAAATAGTTTACAGCTGTTTGTCCAGTCGTAAGCAGCAGGTGTGAACTGTAGTTGCAGTGATGATGAAACATCTGTGAAACTTGCCAGATAATGTCTATTTTCCCTATGGCTCAGAAACGAGGGTCTTGAAAATAGCACAGAAGTTTGCAGGTAGTCAGACGCCCCGAGAGCAGGAGAAGCTAAATTGTGGGGGAAGGGACCCTGAGGGTGAGAACCAAAGGCCACAGAGTTGGGGTGTGCTACCAGACTGCACCTTAGTCTTTGTGTTTTAGGTTTTTAAAAATCTCTTTAAAAAGTAATACATGAACTCATTACTGGGAGAAAGAAACAAAGAAGCACATGAAATCAGGTCTCCCTGAACCCCCACCTGTCTCCACCCCAGTGCAGGAATGATGATTAGGGTCATTTCACTGTCTTTGCAGACTTTCTCTGTGCATTTACAGACAGTTCCAAGGACATAAGGCGCAAAGAGCTTTTTTATTTATATAAAGAAATAGCATCATTCTCCAAATACTGTTCTTACACTTACTGTTTTTCACTTAATGATCTCATTTTTTAAAAGATTTATTTATTTATGCATACAAGAATGAGTCTAGGCCAGAGGTGAAGGGGGCAGGTGAGAGGACTCCCAGAGACAGTGGGGACCACAACAGGTAGACTAACTCAAACACACTGCCGAGAGCAGCAGGCGAGACAGGAGAGATCTGCTGTGCCATTGGGTCACCTTCCTGGCCAGGGATTGAATTTGTGCTGCAGTGGCTGCCTTAGTGCTGTGCACCATCAAGGAAAGCGATGGAGGTCATTTATTAATGGCTTGATGCTCTCCCATAGTTTCAATATACGTGATTTATCTGACTATTTAGGCCCATACTGGTGGGTATTGAAGTTCCTTCTGGTTGTTTTGCTACTATAGCCTGGCACATTCCTCCACATGCTAGTATTTTCTTTTTCTTTTTCTTTTTTTTTTAAAGATTTGTTTATTCGTAAAGAACTGGGATACAGACCAGAGGTGCAGGGGGCTGAGAGAATTCATCAGAGACTGAGTGGGGAGCTGAACAGGCAGAGGGGAGCAGCGGGCGGATCAGGAGAGGTCTGCCGCACCATGTGGATCAGCTCCAGGGCTGGGATGGAACTCATGAAGAAGTGGCTTTAGCTTCTCAGTGCTGTGCTTTAACCCGCTGCGCCACCAGAGAGAGCCACGCCGGTATTTTCCAGGATTGATTTCAGGTGGTGGGATTTGCTGGGTCAGGCACATGCACGCTCATTCTGGCAGATATTGCTGAGCTGCACTTCAGCAGGTCATGGTGCTGCCAGACCTCTCAGCAGTGGTGCAGTGCCCATAGCTGGCAGTTGGCTCTGGCATCCGGGCTCCCAGCATCGCTGTGCGGTGGGCCTCCTTGGGTGAGCTCTGTGGCTTTAAGGCAGGAACAACTCTGCTGGGTCAGTGCCTCCTGGGGCTCCTGGCTTTGGGTTCTGTGGCTGAGCTGCTAGATCACAAAAGGGGTGCTCAGATGGGGGCACTTAGTCACCAAGGTAGTCACTCAGATCACATCACTGTCCAGGAGCTCAGACTGAGGTGCGGGAGTGCACTCATCCTGAGGGTGTCCTCGGGTCTGTTGGGAGACTCAAAGCAAAGAGGAGACCTTTGGAATTTTAGTAAGAAGACGTGTCACTTCTTTCAAGAAGCCTTCCCTGAGGTTCGTCTGTCTCATCTTAGTCCCTGGTTTGTTCCCTTCATAGCACTTACTCAGTTTGTGACTTCTTGTTTACTTCTCTCTCTCCCTCCCAGCTAGCCTTTGAGTGTCATGTAATCAGGGTCTGCCTGTCCTACCTACCCCAGGTCCCAAACTTCCAGATCTGTGCTTGGTAGAGAGCAGTCGTTGAACAAATATTTGTTGTAAAGAATGAACCAAAGGTAGCCAAGGAGAACATCATGTGTTTAATGTCAAAGATCTGAGAGTAACTGCTGGGGGCCTGTAGGGGGGCTGACCAGGGAAAGCCTTATCCTACGTGCCCTATCCTCACCTGGTCTCCATTCTCCCTTCCTGGGACGGAAGATCAGTGATGTTTTGGAAACCTGATGCCTCTGGATTTTCAGTAGGCATCTGCAGTCTGGCCCACCATCGCTGATTACAGAGCTAAGTATAGCAAATTCTTGCCTTACCGATTTTTTTGCTCTCTTTGGTCAGTGCCATACCCTAGTACAGAAACAATTACTGGTAGATTATTAGTTACACCATCAGGTAAACTAGTGACTTAGACTCCCCACACCCCCTCCTTTCCCCTAGGGCCATTAAATATTTTTCAGCTTGTGGCATGGATCATTTGCTAATTATAATTGTGCCTCGGAGTCAGTAACCAGGAAATGACAACAGTAAAACATCTATGTGTTTGTGTGTGTGTTTGAGAGAAAAGAAGAGACTGAGATAATTTGCTTGATGTCCCCCCAACTTCCTCACTATGTGGCCTCAACATGTGATTTAATTACTCTGGGGTACAGTTTTCTGGAATGAGGATAATGACCCCATCTCCCAAGGTGTTGAGGATTGAACACAATGTGTGGGTCCTCATATCATTATTTGTATGGTAACATGGGCCAGTGACAACTCTTCAAATTCCTAGAGCAGCACTTAGAACCCAAAAATGATAAAACTACTACCCACCCCTCCTTTTTTAAAAAAAAAAAACCTTTTTAAGAAGGAAAATGTTAGTAACCAGCAGAAGAAAAGTGGTTATCAAGGGGTTGTGTTATGTACAAAAAGGAAAGGGTTTAAATTTAGCTGTTATAAAAGAGTAAGATAAAATATTCCACACACCCTAATTCAAAATCAGGGAACATAAAGAACTATTTCCCTAAAATTATAATCAGTGGTGGCTCATGTTTAAGAGAGTTTGCTCACTGTGGCCAGGCCCATGTGACTCTTTTCATCTTCTTGATCATGAGCTGTGCAGCCTTCTGGACCTTCCTTGTGTGTTTACATATGCCTGTATGCCGGTGGAGAAAGAGGGGTGTGTGTGTGTGTGTGTGTGTGTGTGTGTGTGTGTGTGTGTGTG